GCAGAGAGAGAGAGAGAGAGAGAGAGAGACGCACACAAGTGAGAGCGGCCGGAAACGCTTGCAAGCCAATGTTCATTCACAAGCGGCCACGGTTGCGTTGTCATCCTTCTCGTCTTTTTCCTTTTCCTCCACCTCGGTCCTGCGTCCCGCACATCCTCCTCCTCCTCTGCCTCTTCTTCCTCCAGCTTCTCCTACATGAAGACTCTCTCGCCCGCGCTCCTTCGTCTCCGTCGTCGTCGTCGTCGCCGCCCGTCGCCTTCGTCGTCGTCTTCGTTGTCGTGGTCGTCGACAACCACGACGACGATTACGACGACGACGGCGACGTCCAGCAGCGCGAGCAAAACGTTCCGACGCCACCGACGCTGCCGCCGCGCATAAATCTTGTCTCTCTTTCTCTCTTTCTCCATATCTCTCTCTCTTTCTTTCTCTCTCTCTCTCTCTCTCTCGCTCGCTCTCACTCTCGCGCCCCCAATCGCTACGCTCTCTTCTACACCCACTATAGAGAGCCCGACATACCCTGCGGGAGGATGCACGAGCAATACGCGGAACGCGTACAACACTCATTGTTCTTGTCGGCTCCCGCACCCGCGACCGGTACCGGAATAGCATGGTATCCCGCGTGCCACCGCGTTAATACCGCTCCCGTGCAACGCATAACGACGGCCCATCTCTCGCATTACTGCGCCAAACCAACCGCGCCCGCCCGCCCGCGGCGGAAAATTCGCGTTCACCCGGTCCTAGCCTAAACACGAGATAAAAACGCTTCGTACGCGCGTCGTTTAACCGCATAATGCGCGATATTTCACCGTGCTAACAAAATGTCATGACCGTTGAAGCTCAGGGTTAGCAAGGGAGCGGATCAGGTAGCGTCGTGCAATAAATACGTGATTGATATTCTCGTATCCTTCGGCGCGATCGTAATTTTAAGACGAACCTACATGGAACAAAGTGACTTCAATTTCGCATTTGTTTAATTTGAATTCTCGTTGAGAGCGAGAGATTTTTTTCCTTTTTTCGATTAAAAACACTTGGAACACGGTAAACTGCCTGTTCGGCAGTACCATCGCGGGGAGGAAACTATCATGCGAGAGTAATTGCGAGGAGGATGCACAAATTAACGTTGAGCTGCGATCAATCTTAATTGAGAGGAAAAGAACATCGATTTGCGGTTTAACGCGGAAAGGGTCGGGCAGGGCGCGGCGGACGAATTACGCGGCGAAGTGCGCTCGGGGATGATAAGAGGCTCAAGTTAAGGGTGCGTTGGGGCACGGAGGAACGAGGGTGACATGGCGAGAACACGAGAGAGATGTCGATCTCGTATGTTTCTCTCTGTGAAGAATAGTCCGGGGTTGCTACCCTGTTCTTTAGAAATACGATCGAGCTGCGTGTATAAATTGCTTAATACGCCGGTGAATGAAAAAGATCGATGGCTCGTTCGATCGAGAAAACAATAAAGAGCAAGGAGAACCGGTCACAAGAACAACGTCCGAGATTCCCCGACGTCTCGTTTAATTTTCAATTTATTATCATCAAAGTGCTACGCGCGATACTCGTAATTACAATCTTAACCGTAACCAAGATAGTAAGAGTTATGAACTTTGGCTATATACCGGAGGTGTCGGATATACATATAATACGATAATGAATATTTAGCAAGATAGATATCTCTGAGATTAGACCAAGAGGAGAAATACATTGACATATCTAAGCGATATGCGCAGCAGCCATCCTGACGGTAGTTCAGATACCACAACTTACTCGACGAGTATCATGCAAATTGGTTATCCACATTTACCGATAGCCGAGTCGATAAATCGAGGCGACTCATTCAGCATCTCACGAGTTTCGGTGGTACGCGACAAAACGATTCGCGTGTTTTGCGCAATTTGCGCGTAGGCGAGACGTAAATGCTGAATGAGATTTGTCATGAAATGACAATGTCATGAATTGAAATTTGAATCCTCCTCGCGGCGGAGATCAAAAAACCGCCGTCCATGTGCAATATCCGCCCGTTCGATAATGATAGACACACGCGACGCGTCCTCATGGCGCGTTACATTAGAAATTGAGCTTGGTTGGATCTACCTGACAACCAAACGGACAGCCAAACGCGTCCTAGTTGAAAGAAATAAAATTTCTAATCCTCAGAACTAATTTCGGTTCTTCTAACAAGAAATTCGGCTTCCAAAACACATTTGCTCGCCCATTATCAGGCAAAGCCAATGGAACTTATTTTTTAGTATAGCGACTCTCGATGCGGCATCTGCAACAATGCCGTACAAGGGCGGGTGAGCCGCGCCCGATTCGCCCTGGTTCGGGACGACTCGGAGATTTCTACCTGGACAAGAGCTGCGGCAGCTACCGCCGGCCCGTAGTGGAAGAAACAGCACGGGGATGTGGGCGGACAGACCGGCGATAACAATGAGCATTGTGATTTGCGCGGGTGTGCCTCGCGCCCCATTGGTCGATTCTCACCACCACCACGAGCCGGTCTCCGAAGCGTAAGCGCCAGCTCGGCAGGGGGTTGTACCGCCGCCACCGCCTCCGAACTCAACAATACACAATGCGCGCAGCGAACCACCTGAAACCACCCACGTTGACGCTCTATAGCGATTACGACGGGTTCGGTGATTCCCGCGACAGGGTCCGCGTCGCGCACGCCCGACGTTTCGTTGTCACACGTGTCCTTCATACGGAAAAAAATATTATGACAAAAGTTATTATGCAAAAGCTTGCAATACTGGTTTATATCGGAATTATTAGCGAAATGATTATATGTGTTGTAATCTATATTATATAATGTGTGTACATGTGATATACATCACTAAAGATTACAGTACATCTCATAATGCCGATCATAATTCCGATATGGCCCAACATTGCAAAATTTCGTGGTAATTTGAACACAATATTTTCTCCGTGTGGGGCTTGACGTTTAAAAAAACGCCGAAGTTGATGACAAACTTGATAACGTAGATTTTCAAAATATTATGTTACATAAACGCTGACACGATCACGCTACTTTTTTTCGTAATAATTTCTTATAAGTCTTACGTGAATATTAATGTGATATAAATGTGAATAAGATGAATATGCGTTACTCTACTTTACCATGTCTAACGGAAAATCTAAGATAAAAGTTTTTCTGCAAACTTCTTGTGCAATCTTTTTAGGCTTTTATGTTCAACTGTAAAGGTACGGCAATGTTCAATTTCTAAGATACGGAAAAGTACAGAAATGTTCCTCGAAATTTTCCTCATTGGAGCAAATACACTATACGATATATATAAATTGCAAAATTTTTATTTTAAGTAAATGTTTACTTAACAGGTCGAGATTTCAGCTTTGAAATTTATAATCGTTTTCATCATATATTGAAAAATGCTCCAATTCATTTTCGCGTGTACTTCCGTTATGTAAAAGCATTTGTAATTCTGTGTAACCAATAAGCGACGTAAACTTTATAGAAAAGACTCAAATTCTGTCGGTAAAGTTTTCAAGAGTATGGCACCCCCTTAATAGTATTTTTTAATTTACCAATAATGAGCGATATTTCAGCATTCTCCTATCATTCGTCAAATTACACAGAGATCGGAGGAACGCGCAGAGATCGGCGCGATATCCTTAACGCCTAGTGACACACGTGTCTGCGCGTACGGTGGAAAATCGTGGTAAACCTAGTAACTTAAATGTTAAGGCTATTATGTTTTTTTTTTGCTACGTCGCAGATGGATTCGCGAAGCTGGAAAGCTGCAAAAGATACGATTCAGACGCTCGCCGATAAAAGTCGCTTTGACTGAGAGTGTCGCTCTCTCCGCTCGAGACGAACGTTGTTACGTAGCGATACATCGACGAACCCCCTCCCCCCGCTCCGGACGCAATTCGGCGGTCCTTTTACGGCGCGATCTCCGATACACATCCGTCTCCGAGTTCCGCTCGTCAATACGGCATGTTGCGTCGGTGTACCGCGACATTCTTCTCCGCCACGTGACGCGTTAATCTCGTTCTCCGCCCATTCGCTCCTCTCATTGAGCTATGATATCGGTAAGGGTGGACAAGGGGAGCGAGGGTGGGTGCTGTGACGCGCCGTTGCTGGGTCATCCGCTTACTGCTATACCCGGCTACAAGTTGGCAATGCTTTACAACAGCGGCGGGCCAGAGAAAAGAGGCGAGTGCAGGTGCACTGATAAGTTCCCAACAACCACGCGCACACAGGCGAGCAAGTTACGACCCGACACCGTCACCGTGCACGCGGCGACGTCGACAAAGATGCTGAGGACGTAGACGAGGACATCGACGGGGACAACGCTGGGAGCCGGTGGCGGCAGTGGTTGTGTGGTAGTGACGGCGGTGGTGGCGGAGGTGGTGGTGGTGGCGGCAGCAGCAACGGGGCACAGTAGTGGTGGTGGTAGCGCGGTAGCGGTGGCAGGCGAAGCTGGCTTCGGCGTGGGTGTCGGAGAAAGGAGGCGGGAACCAGGCCCCCAAAAGGGGCGTGGAATGTGTGGCTGAAGTCGCCGCGGTGTACAAACGCGACGAGAGGCGCCTCTACGGCGCGGCGGTGCGAGGGAGAGGTCGCGCGAGCGAAAGAGAGAGAGAGAGAGAGGAACGGACAGAGAGCGCGAGCACACGAGAACAAGAGTGATAGGGAACAAGAGGAGGGAGCGAGAAGGTTCGATCGAGCAGCTGCTTGGTGGGAGCGAGGGAGAAGGAGCGCTTCGGTAACAAAAGCAAAAGAGAGAGAGGGGAAGCGAGTCGGAGCGAGAGGGGGCGAGAAAGGGTGCGAGTAAGACGGCAGAACAGTAGCGGGGCGCGAGAGAGCGATGCGGCGCGCGGGCGCCGGCCGCCGCCGCCGCCAGCAGCAGGCAGCGCCTTCCGAATCTCATCCCGGTCGGTCCTCGGGGGCTTCAGTCAGTCAGCCGACGCTTCGAGACGCGGTGATTATTTCCATTGTATGCTCGCCGTTCTCTCTCTCGGAGGGGGGGGAGGGGGCTTCCCACCGCACTCACGTTCGCGCGTTACCTCGCTCCCTCTTCCACATTCGCCGTATCTCTTTCTCTCTACCACTTCTTCGATCCCGCTCTCTGTGTGTCTCTTTCTTTCTCTCTCTCTCTCGCTTCGCCGCGCTGTGCCGGAGTAGCCTCCGTGCGCCTCCTTCTCGTCCCCACTGACGCGGTCCCACTGACGCGCCGCGAGGCTGCCGAGCGCCTCTCCTCCGTCGTGCCGCAGAGCGCTTCGTAGCTCGCGGCAGTGGTACGCGAAGCAGAGCGTCACGTCGCGAGTATCCCGAGATACGAGTCACGGCTGTTATCCGCGCGAATCAGCGGCCAGGTAGCTGGCGCGCGCGCGCGCGTGCACCGTTTGCCCGCGATTGGTGTTGAAGTGCGCGTTTACCGGTACCGTCGGCGACCCGGAGCGGACCATGAGGTAGCGCGAGGAACCTGGTGCTACTCGGCTTTGGTGAACCGCGGCTCTGGTCGTGCAAGAACCGTCGTCCGTCCGTCCGCTGTCACGCTAAGCGACGTCTCCCAAATGTGAGCCGCCAGAATTGTGAGCTACCACCGAGAGAAAGAGAGAGAGAAAGGGAGAGAGAAAAGAAAGAGAGAGCGCCGAGGGAGAAAGACCCGGTTCAAATTGCACGATAGGACGGGCACACACACACACACACACACACACATACACGTCGTCGTTGCGCCCGTAGCTGTCGATCACACCGCTCGGTCAGTGACGGTTTTGCTCATTGTGCGGAAGTGCGTTTTCTTTGATACGTGACAAGTGTTACGTCGTCGGCAACGGGGGTAGTCCAGGCTACCAGCGCGCGGCCAGGATGATATGAGCACGCTTGGCAGGTGAGTGAACTGAGCTCGCGTGCCTGCGGAGAGAGAGAGAACACGTGGTTTCGCGAAGGCGCGCCGCGGAGAGAGCTGGCTGGAAGCGGCGGCGGAGCTGCATCGCGATGCAGCCGCGATTGATTGCGATCGCACGCAAACCAACGTCCATACCATCAACCTAATTGTCGGCTTGTAGAGCTGATCTTGCTTAACCTCTCTCTCGTTTTCCTAACTTGTAACATGTAGGGCTCTGGAACTGACACGCGCGAACGAGCGCGCAAAAGCGTCCCGCGCGACGATTATTCGCGGTCAATGTATTCTCTGGAAGAGGCGGAAGTGGGAAGGCGGAGTATGTACTTTGCGGAGAGAAAAACCCTCCCACCTCGAGATAAATCGTTTCTCTCCTCGAACGGGTTAATTTCACCGAGAGACGCGGAGGATGTCGAGGATGGAAATGTGAATCTCCCCCGATCATTATATTAGCACGTATCTACGCTGCTCTGTACGAAAAAGATTCACCGAATTTTCCTTCTTCTTCTTCCGTACAGCAAAAATATAATCTCTAAGGGGGGTGAATCGCGTTAAGAGGCAAATTTAATTAACCGTGTAATTTCAATCTCCTCCTCCAGTCGCACGACCGGGTCGTGCGACCCCAGCGTCAGGATCGATCTGGCATTATGCGAGTCTCAACGCCCGACTCGAAACATGGAATTACGCTTACGCGAGTTGCAGCGTTCACGCTTATAAGAGAGTCCGCGTGTAATTGGAGTCACGTCGTGACATTGTATACCGTGATAGGCGACTGCCGGCGTGATAGCGCGCGCGAGAGTGACTGGAGCGTGTGAGTAACGCGGCTATGCGTGTTGAGCTACGTGGTGTGTGTAGACGTACGTGCTAGATCGTGCGTGCGTGCGTGAGCGCGACGCTCGGCAGCGTACGGGCGTGCACACGCGGGGCCATGTGTTCGGTGCGCGAAGGAGAAAGAGAGTCGTTTCGGGAGATCGACGAGAGAGAAGCGGAAAGAGAGAGAGAGGAGAGATGTAACGAACGAGGGTTGAGAGAGAGGGAGCGTGCTTTGTACGCATCTGACCCAGTGACCTCCCCGTTGTCCCCCTGTAAGCGTACTTCGCTATAGGGTTCCGTCTACTTTCTCTCTCTCTCTCTCTCTCTCCCTCTCTCTCGGCTAGCTTCCCCCTATCGCGGAATATCTTACGAGACCCCCCTTCGAAAGCTCGCGACGCGCACTCCTTCCTTTCTCCTTGGCGCGCCCTACGCGAGGAAAAACGGCCGCTCGATGCTCTCGACTCGATCGAATTAAAACACATGACGTACCTCTTTCCATATCATGCAAATCTCTGAAAGAAGCGGCTGACAATTTTTGCCGATCGGGTCGGAATCGGGTTGTCGCGAGGAACAAGCGTTCTCCGCGAAAGACACCTCGATCTACGGGATGCATACGGCGAATGGTAACCTCACGCGATACCGCGAGACGTGAAGAGCGAATTGTATAATTGGCCTGGCGCATGTTGCCTCATCGCGGGAAATTTGTTTGTTATCCCGCGGTGGAGCGTCGAAGCGAAGATCTTGTTTCGATACGGGCGAGTCTCGTCAATCACTTATCTCCGAGGCGCGAACTTCCGCGTGTACAATAGCTCGTTAACCGTAACCGGCCAAAGCAACAACCCCTCCCCCTCGAGCACGAATTACGCGTCGGGTTGCCGAGTTTTCACGCGCCAAAAATATCGAATTATCGCGGGCCGGTGTGCGTAACAAGCGAGCGAGCGCACGGATTCCCGAAGGATTCGCGTCCCGGCGCGGCATCGACGCCGCCAGCCACGCGCATTTGCGTAACAAGAGGCGCGGTATCGCCGGACGGCGATACGGAATCGAGAGACGGCGATATCGAATTAACGCACGAATACCCGCCGCGCGCTCTCCGGGCATTCGCTTTATTTTCCAGCGGCGGAACGCGGCCGGCGTAGTCCCGCGCTTCGATTTGAAAAAGCGAGCGATTTTACGGGCGGAATTATGAATTACAGCATTTGGCAGATACGATCGACCTTTTAACGCTTTGGCCACCGAGGCCACTTAAATTAACCGATAGCAGCGGTGGATCGGTCGCTGAAAAAAAAAAAAAAGAAAAAAACTGAACGAAAGCCGAGTAAATGCGCGCGACGGGGAGGAGGGAGGGGCGAATTAAAACGCGTAATTGATATCTAATGTGAGATATCCCGGGAGTGTCCGCAGTGTGCAGTTAACGGCCGCGCAGATATCTCATTTCGCCAACTTCGGAGAAGACACCCGCGGCCTCTTCGAACCCTCACAGAAAATTTCCTGCCCCCGGAGAGAGAGAGAGAGAGAGAGAGAAAGTGAGGGATAATTGAGACATAGATGTGCAGTGTGCTCTTCGTGCGACTGGGAAAATGTGCAACGAGCTCTCGGACGTCGATCGGACCGTTCGCGTACGCGTCTCGCCGGCGCGATAAATTATTTCAGATTCTCGCAGCTTCCTCGCGGGCTAAAGTTACATCCCCCTATAAACCGAATGCACGACGGGGGCCGCATTATATCGCGCGACGCGATATTGTCCGCCGTGATAACGCGAGCGAGCAATATCTATCGCGGTGTTTTATTGAAGCCAATTGCTCCACGGGCATAAATCTGGTTGCCCAACGTGGGCCGCGCGTTGAGCGCGCCGCGATTCGAAATACCGGCACGACCTCGGCTGATATATGTAGACAACCCTATAATTGCGCGTGACACCTCTCGCTACAAATGAATTCGGGAGCGCGTGTATAAACTCGACAATGGAGACATACTGCTCGCTTTGATTGCGTCACTAACTGCGTCTTAGCGGCCGCGCGCGAGACAAAGCACGAGTTCTAAAGTGTCAAAACACGGGACGGTCGAGCACGGCTCGCTCGCGAAAAAGAGAGAGAGAGAGAGAGATACAATCCGGTGGTTCCAGCGCGTGGTGCGAGCGCTATCGGCAAAAATGCGAGTAGCCAACGTGTCGCGCGATCTACACAACGGCATAAACGGTATACCGATAAAAACCCCGACGATAAACGACTGGAAGGTGTACTGCTTCGGGGCTCCCAAATGCGAACGGGTCGGCTTACTCGCTGCAACGCACACGGAGAGAAACGGACTGGTGGCTGAGTTAACGCGACACCGTGAACCGAACGTGTTTTCAGTGATGGAAACGGCATTTCTGATTCTTGTAAGACAAATTCGGTTGTAAGAATCCGAAACTCAGGCTTATCTCAATGAAAAGGGCGTTTGGCTCGTTCACTGTCAAGTTGATTCAACGGTGAAAAATTTCGTGTTAAAAACGGCCCACTGAGATATCTGCGTTACTTTAACAAGGTGAATATGTTAAAAAGTAATATGTTAACAAGGTGAATATGTTAATTTAACATGTATTTGTGTATTTTTTAACATATTCCCCGTGTTAAAGTAACTCGAAAATTTCGGGCGGGCCGTTTTTAACACAACGTTTTTTACTATGTGCAATATTTTTCCCTCGTACGCTCGCCGAAACACAGTGACACCGTGAAAGTGAAGACTGCGAATTTTCAAATCGCACACTGGAAAAATGAATTTGCTTTAGATCCACCTGACAATGGACGATTAAACGCATTTTTATTCAAGGAAACGAAAATTCTAGTTCTCATGAGCCAAATTTGGTTCTTATAACCAGAAATTCTGTTTCTTTCAGTCAAAACGTGTTTGATTGTCCATTTTCAGATCCAATAGAGCTCATTTTTCGATGTGCGTTCAATGCCATGCTGAACATTACACAGTTGCAAATTGACGCCTCGCAATGGCTGCAAATTGTACGTCGAATTGCATAGCTAAACATTTTAATTGCCCACATGGAGAAAAAAGATCGGCCGAGTTAACGCGACAATGTTAACGAGTCAAACGAGCGTTTTGGTTGTTGAGGAAAACAGAATTTCGAATTCTTATAACCAGAATTTAGTCCATAAAAATCAGAAATTCATTTCCTTCAGTCGAAGCGCATTCGGTTCGCTCGTTGTCGCATTAATTCCATCTTTTTGCCTTACGATCGTTCTGTCAATGGCTGCGCGCTGCGATATCTTTGAGCTTTTACCAACGAGATCGAATATACAAATTGACCTCGCTTCGCCGTACTTTCGTTTTCGCAAGCACTTTTTCGGTTAATTTGACATTGACCGATCTGACAAATGGCATGGATGTGAAAGTTCACGTATTGCAGGGAGAAAAGAAATCCCCCGCTCGTCAGCGTGATCGCATGCGCAACAAGGTCAAGGTCGACATCGACAAACCATTAGAAAGATAATCTGAAACAAATACGAGCGCTTTCTCCTTGGAATCGCTCGCGCGAATTTCCTCTTCGACCGGGCGGACCAAGCGTTTTGGCATTTCTGCGTGGCGCTCACCGTCGGAGAGCACTCGTGAAAATCCAAGACGACCGGAAATCTCAAAAGTTCTCGCGTTTCATCATCCAAGCGGGGAACGCACCTTTAATCGGCGATAAAGCTCGTGGCTAATGACACGTTTGCGACGAGTACGGATAAACAGAACGAGGCGAGAATCAGAGATCGCTCAGCGATTATGGATTATTAATGAGTAACCATGCACGTAATTAATATATCGCGTGCCGATTACAGAAATATTGCGAGCATCTAACATTCCCCTTCCGGACATACTCGCTACGAATTGACTAACGGATAACAGCGCGCGATAAGCGAGCTGGATGTTTGACCTTAACAACCATCTCGGGATTTTTCAATCGCGAAGCGCTCTTATAATGTTGCGTTAATCGTAAGTTTAATTAGTGGAGATTACTTTACTCCGCCCGGTTTTTCATTTCACAGTTATTACTTCGTACTGGTTTTACGTGCGAAAGTAGCGGCGATATAATTTCTCAACGAAGTACCGTATTCCTTCGGGTGATTCATTTACGCAAATACACGGATGAGAATGCGGCGGTCTGTCAGTGGGTCCATTGTTATCCGGCATTTAAATGT